GGACCTGAGCATCCCATAAGGGAAGGGGGTAGGGGTGCGGTCAAGACAAGAGGACAAGCAGGCAAAGGATGCCAGAATCGAGCACCAAAGACTTGGACACCATTTCTAAGACATAGCTTGCGTGCAGCTTGGCCGCCAAAGCACTGTCGAGCTAAGTAACACCCGCCTCTCTGGCTTCATGGGATTTATAAAGATTTTTCCTTTTAATCCTGCTGGCTTTATTCAAAAGGAACACCATTTCTGAGGATTCATATTAATCACCACGGTTCGCCTCTTTGGGCTCAAGCTAAACTCCCTCACCTAAGCTTTCGCGAATTCTCTTCATCTCTTTGACTGGTCTCCACTTTCTCTGTGCCCTGCCCTGGCTCTATACCTGGCCCCATCCTGATCCTATTGGAAAAACCAGCTCTGTCCAGACGACAAGCCAGACCCTTCCTCCTCTACACGTTAGGCAGTGAGACGGCAGGTGGACATGTAGAAGATGTACTGTCTGTTCTCTCAGGTGGGAACACCCAGGTTCTCATTCTTGACTCTACCAGCCCATATGAGCCTGGCCACCCATATGCAAAAACGGCATATGACGGGATTTCAAAAGCTGGTGGAGAAATCAAATCGTAGGATGGGCTTTTGTTTTTTTAGTTTATGTTTTTCATTAGAGTGAGAGACAGAGAAAGAGAGAGAAAAGCACCCTCAACCAGATCTTATGTCATGATCCCCAAGCCCTGCCTCCCCAGCCAGCCAGGATCATGGGCATGTGCGTCTGGAGTGTGTAGGTTGACCAGGAAATCAAACTCACAATCCACCCTACAGACCCAGCATCGGTGAAAAATGTGTTATTGCTGCTTCATCTAGCTGGCCCAAGTATAAGTGTATTTTGGTGCAAAGAACCTAGAAATCCATGCATAGTTTTTTTCATAAATGCACATTTTCTGTGAATTTTTGAAAACTCATTTATCAATAACTAAATACACAAAAACGTGTAAGGCAGTTCACAAATGACTTTCATGGCTTGCTCATTGGAGAACTTTTATTATACCCATTTTGCAGGTGGGGAAAGTTAAGCTCAGAAGGGTCAGGAAAGTTCCTGATTGCTGACAGAACCAGGCACAGAAGCCAGGCCTTTTGGATCTAAATGCCACATGGTCATTCGTGGTCATCGTCTGCTGCTCTGGCTGTATTAGTTCATTTTTTTTAATCATTACAAATTCTGGTACCTTGTCTTTAACTGGAAACAAATTACTTGAGACCCCTCTCATAAAGGCTGCTGTTTCAGAAGCAGGGAACATTTCCTCTGAGGCCTGCTCTATCAGTCCAGATGGACTAGGTTATGCTGGAATAACAGAAAACCCACCCCCAAATTCCAGTGGTTTAAATAAAATAATGTATTTATAGTTTTTTTGCTTGTTTTGTTTTGTTTTTACGGTTTTTGCCATAGGACATATGTGATTGCTGGAGAGAGACAGAAAAAGGGAAAGTGAGAAATTTCCCCTCCCCCAGGGGGAATGGCCATGCCATAATCCCTTCTCCTCCATTTTCCTCTTGGAATTTTCAGCATGCATGCATACACATCTGGTGTGATTTTCTTTTTTTTTTTTTTTTTGGAGAGGTTTTTGCTATAGGATGGGTATGTTTGCCAGAAAGACAGAGAGACAGAGAGACAGAAAGTAAGAAATCACCTCCTGGGGGGATGGCCACGCCGCAATCCCTTCTCCTCCATTTTCCTCTTGGAATTTTCAGCACGCACGCATACACATTGATGTAATTTTTTTTTTTGAGAGATTTTCACTGTAGGGCGCGTGCGCTCGCCTGACAGACAGAGAGAGACATAGAGACAGAAAGCGAGAAATCACCCCCCAAGGGGGATGGTCACGCCACAATCCCTTCTCCTCCATTCTCCTCTCGGGATCTTGGGCACATACGCACACGTGCCTGGCGTGAGTTTTAAGCCACCAGGTCCGGGACGCGAAATGTGGTCGACTACGTGGGAGTCCAGCAACATAGCCATTACGCTAACTGCTGGTTCCCACATCTGATGTAATTTTAAGCTGCCAGGTCCAAGGCTCAAACTGTAGTCAATCATGTGGGAATTCAGCACCTTAAGCGCTACATCACCTTCTGGCCCCTGTCGTCCTTTTTTTAAGTTTATATATTTATTTCTTTAATGAGAGAGAGACATACAAAGATCAAGAGTGAAAGTAAGGAGAAAGAGAAACAGGCAGATCTTCACGCAGCAGTTCATTCTCAGCCTGGGCCAGTCCGGTCACACATGCATGGGCCCAGCATGTACAGGGAGGCCTCAGGACACAAACCAGGGACCTGCCCATGTAGGTCCAGTTGTCTTACTGGTGTACCACCATCTGACCCATACTTCTAACACATTCTCCATGTACTTTCCCGGTTGACAAGAGGGCTCTCCTCACTGTAGCCTTTCAGGGATCCAGGCTGAGGGAGACTCATTCCTGACCTGTGCTTCCATGATCCCTGAGGGAAGGGAACAGGAACCAGGCGAACAACTGAATGAAATTTCTGACCAGAAGTGCTCACCTCATTACTACTCCCAGTTCACTGGCCAGAAAAGCCACGTGGCCAATCTGAGTTCAATGGGGAGGGTGTATCGAGGCCCCACAGAGAGACCCACGTGTCTGTGAGCGATAACATAGACTGCCCCACTCTCCTTTCCGTGTTCAAAATGAACTGGGATCCAGTTAAAGGGCTAGAAACACTATCCCTGCCTGTCAAGTTTAACCCTCCTACGGATGTATTCTCTATCTTTTAGGTGAAAAGTGTAGGAGTTTCCAGAGTGTAATACCAGCAGAAGAACAAGGTAAATGCTTTACTCTCGCTGTCTACCAGCACTCCTCACAATCTGGACAGTTTTCACTATTTCACCGATGAAGCAAAAAGAGAGACATTGACTTACGGTTTTACCATTGAAGTCCATAGACTTTCTTCAGATGCCCTAAAGCCAGTGATGTGCTGGCAAATGCTAAACAACTAACTCTTCAGGAGGAAGGGAAAGCCTTAATTTGTGACATTTGCCACTTTCTATGGTGTAAATAGTCCAAGTATGGCCAATTTCAAGCTATCCATGGAGGATAAATTTGTGGTTGGGAAGAAATGAGCTCTGGCACGTCCCGCCTGTTCCACTTTTCCGCGTTTTCTTCTCTGTAACACTCATTAAATTTGTACTGATGTCTTGGCATCTGTTCTTCCAGCTGGGGCATAGGTTTGGTGAAGACATAGATCACATCTATTTCTTTCACTGCTGTGTTCTCAGTACCTAACTTGCTTCATACTAGCCCTTTCACCAATACCAGTTTCTCTTCCTGTCCCCTTTCTCCATTACCCTCTACGTCCAACGTGGTTTCTTAAAGCCATGGGGGGATCCCATCCAATAAATAAATAAATGACTCTCATAGAAACAAAGGAAGTTTTGGTGCCTCCAGGTGGAGCTCTTCAGCTCTCAGACTCTTCTGCCACCACGTTTAAGTGTGTGTATCTTCTTTAAAAAGGCAAAGCTAGGGACTAACAGATGGCATGATGCTTACATCACTAGACTCTCACATGGTTGACCATGGTTCAAGTCCTAGACCTAGAAGCTTAAAACTCACACTGGGCATGTGTGTGCACCTGCCCAAAACCCCAAAAGGAGAATGGAGGAGAAGGGACTGCAATGTAGCCATCCCCCCGGGGGGGAGGGGGGGTGATTTCTCACTTTTTGTCATCTCTCTGGCAAATGTGTGCACCCAATACCAAGACTCTGTCAAAAAAAAAAAAAAGAGCAAAGCTAATGTCTTCTAGTAAAATCAAAACATGTTAACATGTTAACTTCTGAGCTAGAAAATGGGGACCCAAGTATCTCTTGTGCCCTCAGTCAGGATATTCCTTCTTTTTTCTCCTCCTAATTAGGAACAATCTTCACAAACAGCTTTTGGGGGCTCTAGGAGCCCCCTTTCATTGCCAGCTTGCCGTGAGTCAGTAGAGGCATCTGGGATTTTTCACTTCAAGGCACTTGTTTTTTTGTTTTGTTTTAACCCAAGGGACTGACCAGTCTAGTACTTCTGAGTTTTAAATGCCTGACATTGCTGTCATCGCTTCCTTTTGCAGGGGTTTTCTGGCTGTCTGTAGGGGCTGAGGTCTTGGATATCCTTCTAATACTGACGAGCGCCATCCTCCTGGGCTCCCGAGTGACGTATCACAGCGCTGGGTTCAACTGGGTCAAGGTGGATGCCTCAGTAGCCATCCTCATGGTGCTTGCAGGTACTTTTTTACAGCATCATTAAGACAGCAAATTCCCCATGGCCAGTCCTGGAGGTATTCAAGTGCTGTGTGCCCATCGGTACAGAGCTTGCTAACTTTGTCCTCTCAATGTCAGCTCAGAAGGAAATGGTCTATTGGACAGGCCACTGTCTCCATTCCATTGGGTGAAAGCAATGATGCTTTGGTGACTGATGAAAAGAAGGGAGTTAGGTGCAGATGGAGAATAAAAGTCATCAGTGCGTCTTTATCACAGCCCTGGGAAGAGGGTGCGCTGACTCTGAGAACAGAAGTTACCTCATTTAGCATGGCGGTTTGTCATGAGTTGGTGGAGGAACCCACCTGGGTTCAGACCTCTGCTAGTAATAGTTAATGCCGATGTGACTCTGTAAGTTACTCAGCTTCTCTAAGCTAACTCTACAGGCCATGGGGATGACTTGGTATATAATAAGTATTTGATAAGAGCTTTTAAAAATATATATCTTGTGACAGCAGATGGTGCAATGGTTACATCGGACTGGATTCCCACATGGTCGACTGCAATTCAAGTCCCAGACCCAATGGTTTGAAATTCACAGCAGACGCATGTGCGTGCTTGCCTAAAATCCTGAGAGGGGAATGGAGGAGAAGGGATTGCAGCATGACTGTCCCTCCTGGGGAGTGATTTCTTGCTTTCTGTTTTTCTGTCTCTCTCTCTCTCTCTCCAGGGATCGCATGCACCTCATAGCAAAAAAATCTCTCTCAAAAAGAATTTATTGTCTGAGTGGCATAAATAGACCATAAGAATGAAAAACTCCTGTTTTTTATTCTACTCTTGTGTTCTCCAAACAACTTTTGGAGCAACCTAATTTAGTCTGTTCAGTGGACCTTTCCACCAAGGAAAGAACTCTGAACCAATGACTGCCTTTAGTTTTCCAGCTAGATACGTAAGTTAATAGTGCATCGGTTCAGTGTGCAGGTCCCCTCTGCGCTGGATAAATGTCAGCTTCTTTCCCAAGTGTCATCATCAGTGTATAGAAAGATAAAATCCAAGTTCAGATCATCATAGTGAGGAACCAGGTCTTGAACTCATGGGGACTCCTGTCTAGATTCTGGCGTCTCACGAGGGCCTCCCTAATTGTGATTAGGTCTTTTTCCCGGATGTCTTTTTTGTTTTAACAGAATGGGATGGCTTATCAGGTAGAATTTTTAAAGAGCAAAACATGTCGTAAGGACCTCAGACGTTTGCATCAGAATATAAATGCCTCTGCTATTTAAAGATAGAAACAGAGAAATGAGCACCCCCAACAGGATCTTCATGCAATGATCCACCCCCAGGCTCAGCTGGCCTGGATTGTGGGCACACACACACATGCCTAGCATGCTCAGGGAGGTACTAGGTTGTGAACCCAGGACCTCTTCCATGTGGGTCCAGTTGCATTACACTGCACCACCATCCTGGCACACTAATTTGCATTTTTACCACTGAAGCCAATCTACAAACTTTCTATATATAGAAAGTTCCCTCCACATATCTGGAGATATTGACATAGTACTTTCAAGTCCTAGACACATACTCCTTTAACCATTAAATTTTTTAAAAAAGTCATCTGGGTTTCAAGAAAAAGAAAGAGACCCAGTCATTTACAAAGGAGAAACACTCACGTTGACAAGTGACTCAGTTCTCAATGATTATTGCCATGTGGCCCAGAGTAACCAGAAGGTACTCAGATTTTTTTTAATGTAACATATCTCAGTTTTTAAGTGTTACTTTTAAAATAATCTTAATTTAAATAATCTTTTTAACAATATTTTTTTTATTCGTTCATTTATTTTAATTTGACCAAAGAGAGAGAGAGAGAAAGAAAATGAGAAAGCAAACCACCAGGTCTGGGATTCGAACTGTGATTGGCCATGTGGGAGTGTCCAGCATCTTAACCACTACACCACCTGCTGGTCCCCAATTTAAATTATCTTAATCTTATTTTAAATCATCTTAATTTTTAAAAATAACATGAGAGAACATGGTGACATATGGCTTCGGACCAAGTATGGCCCATGGACCCTTCATCTGTGCCAGGGAAGACATGCAGTAATGCAGGTGACACAAAGATGAGCGCAGTGACAAGTGGGATGACAACATGGACAAAGGTGGGCATGGGGGGAATTGAACAGTAAAAGAACACAGCGCAGTGTGGACTTAGGACCATAAGAAATCAGTGTATATGGAACATAGAGGCTGTTAGGATGGGCTAACAGAGAATGCAAGAGGACTCCCTACCTTCAATTGAGGCTCTTCCACTACATTGAATCTCAGCCGTGACTCACAAAGCTCTTCCTGTGCAGGGCTCCTTGGCATGGTGGCCCACATGATGTACACGACCATCTTTCAAATCACTGTGAATCTTGGACCAGAAGACTGGAAGCCTCAGACTTGGGACTATGGCTGGTCATACTGGTGAGTCACTTGGTCAAGTCTTCGAGGACCTGCAGAGATGCAAGGGATTTGTAGAACAATTCACCTGGGTCAGATCTCTGACACCTGCTACTTTGGAGACTATGGGTTAGTTTTTAGCCCAGTTTCTTCACCTATAAAGTGAGGGTTTTTATATAGATTTAAAGAGGTCATATTTATAAAATGCTTGGCACATAGCAAAGTCATTGAGAATTGGAGATATGGTTGTCATTACTTTCTTAAACATAGCTTAAGAGAAAATGTCCTGAACTCTCATTCCTAGTAAATACTTCAATGAGGAGAGGGCCAGCATATGAGAAGAATACAACAGGCCACGTCCAAAGGCACATGAATTGGAATGGTCTTTCCAATGCAAAGACCAGGCCATGGCATAGTTCTGTCTTCAATCCAGAGACTTGGCCATGTCATGGAAGATCACAGGGGTTCCCATTGTGTGACCCTCAGATGCGTAGTATATCCTAAAAGTAGATGTGCCTATATTGAACATTCCATCCTATGTAACAGCATCTTATGTTACTTTCTTCTTTGTAAAAGACCTACCTCTTTCAGGGTTCATTTCCTCATCCTGCCATTCCAGGATCGGGTGAACATGGCTATGTTATTATGATCCATGTGCTTTGTGATTTCTTAGATTTTGAACTCTTCTTGGTCTTCACCTTGCCAGTCTAAAGGCATTTGTGTTTATAAGTGTTTCTCTGTACAGCATTCTTTCCACCTGTTTGTCACTTTTGCTGCCTCCCTCTGAATTAATTCTGTGTAAGTACATTCTGTGATGTTCAAACAATGAAACCACCTGTTTTTCAGAATGTATCCCCATCATTCCTGTCATGAACTGATGTACAGCTGTATGTTTTTGCATATCTGGAAATAGAATTTTCTTTTTTTAGAGAGAGAGTTTTGCTATGAGGTACATGTGCTCACCAGGGAGACAGAGAGAGATAGAGAGTTAGAAAGTGAGAAAATATCCCCCTAGGGGGGAATGGCTACTCTACAATCATTTCTTCTCCATTCTCCTCTCAGGATATTGGGCATGTGTGCGTATATGTCCACCATGAGTTTTAAGGAACCGAGTCCAGAACTTAAACCGTGGTTGACTACATGGGAGTCCAGTGACATAACCATTATGCCATCTGCTGGCCCCTGGAAATGTATTTTTGAATGCCCCATACTTGATTGATAGTTTGGCAAAGTACAGAATCTTTTGTTGGAAGTCATTTTCCCTTAGAATTTTGAAGATATTTCTCCATTTTCTTCTAGCCTTTATTTTTTAGTTTATTCATTCGATTGTTCCATGAGAGAAATAGAGAGCCAGAAAAACAAGCATCTCTAACCACCTCCCCACACCATGCTCACTCACAGTTCAGCCAGCCTAGATCATACACATGCACGTGCATGTCCAGCATGCTCAGGGTGGTCTTGGGACTTGAACTGAGGGCCTTATCTATGTGAGTCTGCTTGTGTTACTACTGCATCACTTCCTGACCTTTCTTTAGCACTCATTGTTACTATGAAGAGTTTAAGACCATTCCAATTCATGTGCCTTTGGACGTGGCCTGTTGTATTCTTCTCTTTATTACTGGGGTTCTAAAGTGTCCTGGTGATGTCTCTTGATGGGAATCTTAGTTCCTTCACATTGATTCTTCTTCCATGTGCTTGGCAGGCCCTTTAACCTAAACTTGTCTTCAAGTTCTGGAGCATTTTTCTTGTATTATTTTTTGGGTTATTTCCTTTCCTCAGTTTTCCATTCTCTTTTAAGGGAGATTTGGGTAGATACTGGGTCTTTTAATGATCTAAGTGTCTTACTCTTTTCCTCATATGTTTTCTCTCTTACCTTTTATGCTATACTTTCTGAAAATTGTCCTCTGTTTGTCCTCTAACCTCTCTATTGAATTCTTATTTTAGCTTTTGTTTTAATTTCAAAGAGTTCTTCCTAGTTTTCTGGTGGTTCTGTTTTCATAGTGTCCTGATCTTGGTTTATTGATGTAATTTTTTCTCATATCCCCCAAAGACATTCAAAAGGTTTTTTTTCTTGTGGCTTTTTCTCCTGTTCCTTAGTCTTTTTATTTTCCCTGCTTGTTGTTGGAGCTTTCCCCAAATATTGGTTTCCTTGATTGTCAAGGGATTTTTTTGTTCGGTTGGTTTTTGGTTTTTTTGAGAGGTTTTTGCTATAAGGCGTGTGCACTCACCAGAAAGACAGAGATGGAAAGACAGAAAGCGAGAAATCGGACCCCAGGGGAGATGGCCACGCTGCAGTCTCTTCTCCTCCATTCTCCTCTCGGGATCCTGGGCACACACGCACACGTGGCCGGCATGAGTTTTTTAAGCCACCAGGTCCAGGACGTGAACTGCGGTCAACTACATGGGAGTCCAGGGATGTAGCCATTGTGCCAACTGCTGGTCCCATGTCGAGTTTTATTTAAGGACAATCAGAAGCTCTGGAGTGCTTGGAATTTATCTCTCCTCAGGTTGCTGCTGCTTCTCCTTCTTCTTCCTCTAGGTGATTTGGTTTGGAGTGAGAATCCCACCCATAAAAACACATATGAATGCCAATTTATAGAGCTTCCTTCTCTAAAAACACCCTCCCATGTCTTCAGACACCACTTGTGGAGGAGAGGAGGGAGCCTGTGGGCCACCATCCATATACTGACTTTTGGCCAACCCTCTGCGTTTTTGCCTCAAAGTTCTAAGTCTCTCAGGGATTCCATGGGGCTCGTGAAGGTCCCTTCTGCCTTGTTGATAGACACTAGCCACAGAGCATCCTCCGCTCTATGAATTAGTTTTCTCTCTCCCAGCTGCTTCCCCTCCTGTCGTGTCTCCTCTCCGGTTCTCTTCAGCCTTGAGTGTTCACACTGGCACACAATCCCTTTATTCTCAGGGCAGCAGGGCGTGGGAAGCTGCAGTGAATCCTTGACATCTGTCTTCCCTTTAACCTGGAAGTCCCTCTTCCTTACCTTCCTGTGGAATGTACATTTTGTTGGGTTTGGGGATTGCAGCAGAAAATCGGCCTGGTGTGGTCAGAAGACATCTAGGGAAATTCTCCTCTAATCCTAAATCAAGCTGATAGCATAGGACATGGCATCCCGTGTGGACAACAGGAATTGATTCTCCCCAAAATCAGTTCTCAGTGTCAAGATTGACCTCCAGCTGTTTTCTTATCCCTGCCCCGCTTAAGCCAGAGTAATAAATATTGACTTAACGAGACTCTTAAGCAAGGCCAGACTCACCCCAGAACCCTGAGGGATGTGCCTGGTTTCTCAAGCATGTAGCACCAGGAGGCAGCAGAGTCCAGCAAGCAGGCTAGCTGTCTGTGGTGTTGAAGCCTTGGAGCCAAAACCAGGACGTTCTGCTTTCTAAGTCGTGACCGTGGGCGCGTTACTTAACTTCTTTGTGTCAGCTTCCTCACTGGTAAAACGGGAAGAATTACAGCGCCCCTCTTAGAGAGTACCGTGAGGTTAAATTTGATAAGCCAGTGTTTATCATAACACCTGGCATGCAGTTATGTTCATTATTACTATCCATCCAGAAGTGCATCCGTTCAGCTTTATGTTTTGTCTCCTCCATCCTCCTCTTCCTCGTTCATCACACACACTTTCTCTCTGTCTCATTCCTACAAACATTTGAACACCTTTTCGTATAAAGCAGGTGCTAACTACCATGTTGCTGACGCAGTGCGGGCTCTCTGGAGAGTGAAAAGTTCGGACCATCATCGTGGAATGTAACAGGTGTCCAGTCTGGATGGGTACATAAGAATAAGGATGTGGAAGCCAGCTGGCGGCACAGTGGTTAAAGCTCTGGACTTCTGTATGACCACTGCAGTTTGAGGCCCAGACCCCGTGGCTTAAGACTCACTCTGGGTACATTTGCGTGTGTGCCCAGAATCTCAGGAGGAGAGTGGAGGAGAGGAAAATGTGTGGCCATCCCTCCTGGGGTGATTTCTCACTTTCTCTCTCACTGTTCCTCTCTGTCTCTTTAGTGAGTTGCACATGCCCTGTGGAAAAAAATCTCTCTCAAAAAAGAGAGAAAGAAAAAAAGAGAAAGGAGAAAGAAAGAAAGAGAAAAAGAAAGAAAGAAAGAAATAAAGGAAGGAAGGAAGGAAGGAAGGAAGGAAGGAAGGAAGGAAGGAAGGAAGGAAGGAAGAAAGAAAGAAAGAAAGAAAGAAAGAAAGAAAGAAAGAAAGAAAGAAAGAAAGAAAGAAAGAAAGAAAGAAAAAATATGGGTCCCCCTGTAGTGTAGTGGTTGGGCGCTGTGCAATGGGAGCCAGGTCCCATATGGTTAAATACTGTTCATATATCCATCCTGGCAGGTGCACGTACACACAGCCCCAGGATATAGCAGGATGGAGAAATGGAGGGAAAGGGATTGCAGCATGACCAGACTCCACTGGGGAATGCTTTCTCCTCTCTCTCTCTCTCTCTCTCTCTCTCTCTCTCATACATGCCCTCTGGCGTTCAATAATAATAAGGGCAATGATGCTCAATGCCACCGTCCTCGGCTAAAGCCAACCATGGGTAATACTTACATGTAGTGGATGCCATGCTAACTACTTTCTACACGTTAGCTTGTCACATTTCCTCCCAACGACCCTGTATTATTATTATTCATTATCTATTATTATTGTTATTAATTATTATAGATATTATTCCAGCTTTGCAAATGAAGAGAGCCCCATACAGAGAGACCAAGTAAGAAAATTCACAGGAAGCGGGGCCATGGTGAAACACAGCAGTGACTCCACAATCTGTTCTCTTCATCACCAGGCTAAACACACATTGGCTGGTCTCTGGGATCCGTGATACAAAATGCAGGTCCAAACTGGACAGAGCCAGGAGCTGCTTTTTCTTTCCTTGTCTTTTCTCTCCCCTCCCTTTCCTTTTCCTCCCCTTCCCCTCCTCTCCTCTCCTCTCCTCCCTTCTCCTCTCCTCTCCTCTCCTCTCCTCTCTCTCCTCTCCTCTCCCCTCCTCTCCTCTCCTCCCCTTTCCCTCTTCTCCTCCCCTCTCCTCTCTTCTACTCTTCTCTTCTCCTCTCCTCTTCTCTTCTCTTCTCTTCTCGTCTCTTCTCTTCTTTCTTTCTTTCTTGCTTTCTTTCTTTCTTTCTTCTTTCTTTCTTTCTTGCTTTCTTTCTTTCTTTCTTCTTTCTTTCTTTCTTGCTTTCTTTCTTTCTTTCTTCTTTCTTTCTTTCTTGCTTTCTTTCTTTCTTTCTTCTTTCTTTCTTTCTTGCTTTCTTTCTTTCTTTCTTTTCTTTCTCTTTCTTTCTTTCTTCTTCCTTTCTTCCCTTTTCAGGTTTTTGGTTTTTTTTTTTTTGGCCATAGGACATGTGCAATCACCAGAGACAGACAGAGGGGGGAAGTGAGAGAGAAAGCGAGAAATTACTCTCTCCAAAAGAGTGGCCATGCCGCAATCCCTTCTCCTCCATTCTCTTCCTGGGATCTTGGGCATGCATGCACACACTCTGGGCATGAGTTTCAAGCCACCGGGTTGAAGACTCAAATCACAGTGGGCAATGCGGGAGTCCAGCGACATAACCGCTAAGTCACCTGCTAGTCCCTAGGAGCTGCTATTTCACTAGACTGACCCCAGCAGGAAGCCCTGGGATTGCAGCCCCAGGACATTTTCTTTTTTATTTTTCTTTCTTTTTTGGAGAGGTTTTTGCTACAGGGCACGTGCGCTCGCCAGGTAGACAGAGAGAGACAGAGAGACAGAAAGCGAGAAATTACCCCCCAGGGGGGATGGCCACGCCTCAATCCCTCCTCCTTCATTCTCCTGTCGGGATCTTGGGCACGCACGCACGTACACGTGCCCGGCGTGAGTTTTAAGCCACCGGGTCCGGGACTTGAACCGCGGTCGACTACGTGGGAGTCCAGCGACATAGCCATTATGCTAACCGCTGGTCCCCCCAGGACCTTTTCTAACCATGCCTTTTGTTGACAGCCTGGCCTGGGGTTCTTTTGCCCTCTGCATGGGCGTGTCTGTGACGGCCATGAGCAGGTACACGGCAGCCCACCTGGGATTCTCCGAGCAGCAGAGCGCACAGAAGGGCAGTCAGAACCCACAACAGGACTTCGCAGAGCCTGAGTCTTCGAAGGGCGCTTGGGAAACAGGAGCTGCTCCCGGCTCTGTGGGACAAGCACTTGGGAAGGTTTCTAGGCACCTGCCACCAGGTGCCCCAGGCAAGGTGTCCATGTGTTAGCCAGTACCTGTGGCCGAAAGAGCTGCACAGGCAGAGGAGCCGTGTTTGTACCCACAGTGCCCGTCTCTGGGGGTGGTTCAGAAGACTGTGGTCCAGGTAAACCCTCTCTCCCCCCAGTCTCGCCCTTCACTAGACACCTTTGGCTTCAGCCTCTAATTCCTGTTAAAATGCCACCATTTGAGGCCAGCAGGTGGTGTGGTGGTTAAGGGTGCTGAACTCCACATGGCTGACCACAGTTTGAGTCCTGGACCTGGTGACTTGGTTTCTCACTTTCTCTCTCTCTCTCTTACTCACTCTGCCCCTCTCTGGTCAAATTTAAATAAATAAAATAAAATAAAATAAAGTTTAATAAAATAATTCTTAAAGAAAAAAATGCCACCATCTTTAAGTGGCATAACCCTTACAGAAGATATTAACCATTGACATGCTAGTATAAAGAAGCTTTTGCTCTCCTGGCAAGTGAGTTTACTAAAAATACCAAAGACAGAGGAAACCTGCAGGTACTGAAGAGAAGAGAAGCTGAAACGGGGGAAGCTGTCTTTACAGTGGGTGCAAAATGTGTTGCCCATGCAGGTTGGTTGACCAGAAGGCCAGAATTATTTTTCCTTAATTGACTCACAAAATGAAGTGTGTGTGGCTATCTCATACTTTCTTTTTATATTAATCAAGAAGAAATGGGAAAGTAAGTGTTCTGTTATTTACATTTTTTTTCTTTAAAATGTTATAATGAGTAAAATCAGTCTGGAAAGATTGTCAAACAATAGAAAGAAATAAAAACACAGTCACATAGAATGACATCTTATCACAGTTAAGTGGAACAAATGTTTGAATTGTCCTGCTTAAATTAAATCGCCAAGCACTTTCATTTCTAAAAATAGAGGGAGCCCAACTTGCAAGTCTGGTGTGAGGCGGTGGTGGACCGAGGGTTTCCCAACGTGCACGGTTACAACGTTATATCAGTGTCTCTCCTATTTTCAGCTAATATGTTATAGAGATTGGGAGACATATCATTTTGATTTTTGAACCAAAAAATGAACTGCCAAGTTCTAATAACCTAGAGCATGTCTTAGTTCAGATTCATCTTTAAAAACTGTATTTATGGGGTCCAGCAGCTGGCATAGTGGTTAAGGCACTGGACTTTCACATGACTGACTATGGTTTGAGTCTCAGACCTAGCAACTTGAAAATCACTCTGGGTGCATGTGTGTGTGCCCAAAATTCCAGGAGGAGGATGAAGGAAAAGGGATTGTGTGGCGTTGCCATCACCCTGGGCGGGGGGTGATTTTTTTATTTCCTGTCTCACTGTCTCTGTCTCTCTGGCAAGCACATGACCCCTCTGACAAAAATGTAAAAAAAAATAAAGAAAAAGAAAAAAGAAAAAAATGTGTTTATATGTTAATAAAGATATTTCTGGAAATGTATTTCCAATAAAATTATCATCCTGTGCTGAGCTATAATACTTAACACTGCAGAGAATAAAGGAAAAGCTATGATTTCCTCATGTTTGGGGCTTCAGTTAAAATATCTGTTTAACAAAGGCTGATCCTGTGGAATTTTGTGTTTTATTGCACCAAGTGTATTTCAAGAGCTGCAAAATGGATTTTGGAACCAGCCCCATGGCACAGCAGTTAGGAAAGTCAGATCCTGGGGCCAGCAGGTGGCATAGCAGTTAGGGCGTTGGATTCCCATATGGCTGACTACAGTTCCAATCCCAGATCTGGTGGCTTGAAAATCACACTGGGCATGTATGTGCACAGGCCCAGAATTCCAGGAGCATGGAGAGGAAGTGATTGCAATGTGGCCACTCCCCCTCGGGGGTAATTTCTTACTTCCCCTCTCTCTGTCTCTCTCTCTGTCTCTTTCTGGTGAGCACATGTACCCCAAAGGAATGAGAAGAAAAGAAGAAAAGGAAAGGAAAAAAAGAAAGAAAAGAGAAGAGAAAAGAAAGAAAAAAAAAGAAAAAAAAAAGAAAAGAAAAGAAAAGAAAAGAAAAGAAAAGAAAAGAAAAGAAAAAAGAAAAGAAAAAAAGCAGAGAAAAGAAAAAAGAAAAAAAGCCAGATCCCACCTGGCAAACTGCAATTCAAATTCCAGCCCCAGCACTTTAAAAAACATGTCAGGCATGCGGATGTGTGTGCCCAATCATGAAGGGAGAGGAATGGAGGAAAAAGAATTGTCACGGGACCAGCAGTTAGTGTAATAGCTATGTCACTGGACTCCCATGTAGTTGACTGCGGTTCCAGTCCTGGACCCAGTGACTTAAACTCACGCTGGGTGCATGTGTGTGCGTGCCCAAGATCCCAAGAGGAGAATGGAGGAGAAGGGATTGCAGCATGGCCATCCCCCCTAGGGGGGTGATTTCTCGCTTTCTGTCTCTCAGTCTCTCTCTGTCTTTTTGGGGAATGCACATGCCCTAGAGCAAAATCCTCTAAAAAAAAAAAAAAGGATTAAGGAGAGTGGTTTTCTCTCTTGCTCACTCACTCGCTCTATCTATCTCATACACATATGTACACATCACTGGCAATAAAAATAAATAGAAATGAAATGGATGTTTGATGAGTAAGCCCGACCCAGAGGAGGTATGCTAGGATTCCCTGGGCCGTTTGCTAACCTGGACCAGAAGGGCTTGTGCGGCCTAAGCCCCCACAGCACACAGCCTCCTTTGCGTGGTTCATCGCTCCTGTGTGTGCATGTGTGCCCCACGTGACTCCCACGTTATCAAGCCGAAGTCCGAGGTTAGAGAGGAGGAAATCCACTCAAAGAAATGCTTAATTCTGCCTTGGAATATGTCTATGGAAATTAGGCTGAAGGTCCAAAGAATAAATGAATTTTCTGGAGCCGTAGCAGAGAAGCTGGTGTCATTGGATTGCACAGGGACACCTGGAGAAAGGGGACCAGTGACCACTTAGGGACCAGAGCCGGACAGAGGCAACTGGTCAGCAAGGCTCAAGTGAAAACTGATTCTCGGCCCAGCCGCAGCAGCACAGGCAGTAGGGCAGCACACTGCGATGCTGGAACCACGTGGAAAATCGTGGACCCCAGGATGATCTGAAACACATCAGATGTGTGCAGGCCCCTGCTGTCCTGGTTGGCTGGAAGGCTGGCAGGGCTGGGGCAAGGTCAGATTGTGACAAGATCCTGATAAGAGTGTCTGTTTCTCTCTCTTTCTCTCAAAAATAAATCGTTTTTTAAGAAAATGATTCGGGACTGGCAGGTGGCGTGGTGGTTGAGGCACTGGACTCCCACATGGCTGACCATGGTTCGAGTCCTGGACCTGGCACCCTGCTTTCTTGCTTTCCTTTTCTGTCTCTGTCTCTTTCTAATAAAAATTAAAAATAAATAATAATAACAAATAAATTTAAATAAATAAATTATTCTTTAAGAAAGAAATAAAATGATTCACTGGGGGCTAGCCAGTAGTGTGGTAGTTCAGGTAGCTAGATCCCATATGGCTGGCTGAATGATTCAAGTCCCAGACCTGGTGGCTTGAAAAACACACCAGGTGCATGTGCATATGTGCTCAAAATCCTGAGAGGAGAATGGAGAAGAAAAGACTGCAGCGTGTCCATCCCTATCTCCCCCAGGGAGGTGTGTGAGGGGGGTACTTTTTCCACTTTCTCTCTTTCTCTGTCTCTTTCCAGCAAGTGCACATGTCTTATGGCAAAACTGAAGAAAAATAAGAAAAAGATCCTTTGCTAAATCCTCTGTACTCTCAAGGCATTTTACTTCATTAACTTTTTTTAATGCTGTGACCAGCAGGTGGCATGATAGTTGGGGCACTAGACTCCTGCATGGCCAACCATGGTTCAAGTCTCAGACCTGGTGGGTTACTTTCTCACTTTCTCTCTTTCTCTCTCTCTTCTTCTTTCTCTTTGGTGAATGTGTGTGCCCTATAGCAAACGTTAAATAATAATAACAATAGTAAATTAAATTAAATAAATAATTCTTTAAAATTTTTAAGCCATTTTTATTGAAGTATAGCACATATAGGGAAAAGCATAAAGATCGTAAGTATACAGCTTAACACATTTTCAGAAAGTCAACACACCCATGTAACCACATTCCAGATCAAAAAACAGAACAAGGCATCTCATTTTCATCTATCTTTGGTGTAAGACAGACCCAACTGGCAAAACAATCTATTTATATAACAGTTCTCCTCATATAAAGCATAAATTTTTCCATATTAAAAACTGTTCTCTTTACCCCAGAGTCTAAAGCAATGGTTGACAAATTTAAAATATTTTATGAGAGACCTTCCAAAACTTCATGGAAAATGGCATTAAAGTATACATTTATTTTGGAACCAGAAGTATTTTGAAATTCATGCCCAGTTTTTTTATAATATCCATTTTTCATCGACTCTTTGAAGCTCTCTCATATATGTACACACGCACACAAACACACTGTATCAACTAGACTTCTTTTTTAAGCATTTTTTGGAAGGTGATACCCTTCGTGATTAAGAGTATAGAATCCAATGCCAAGTAATTGGATATGCTGGATCATCAGAAAGATCATGGTGCAGGGACCAGCAGTTAGCGTAATGGCTATGTTGCTGGACTCCCACGTAGTCGACCGCGGTTCGCGTCCGGACCCGGTGGCTTAAACTCACGCCGGGCGTGTGTGCGTGCGTGCCCAAGATCCCGAGAGGAGAATGGAGGAGAAGGGATTGCAGTGTGGCCATCCCCCTCTGGGGGGTGATTTCTCGCTTTCTGTCTCTCTGTCTCTCTCTGTCTGTCTGGCGAGCGCACACGCCCTATCGCAATAAAACCTCTCAAAAAAGAAAAGAAAGACAGAAAGAAAGAAAGAAAGAAAGAAAGAAAGAAAAAAGGAAGGAAGGAAGGAAGGAAGGAAGGAAGAAAGAAAGAAAGAAAGAAAGAAAGAAAGAAAGAAAGAAAGAAAGAAAGAAAGAAAGAAAGAAAGAAAGAAAGAAAGAAAAAGAAAAATCATGGTGCATTTTTGCATAGGAAGAAATAACATTACTTTTCCAACAACCCAAG